CTGGGTGACAAATATCATACCATACGACACCTGAAGAAACATCGTTGAGTTACTAGTCATATCAAGCATGGTTATACGAACTCACAATAGTATAAACTAACCTTAGTTTATGAGATTTCATTCTTCATTAGTTTTATTTTAATTAATATAACTACCATACATTACACTGGAGGATTCCAGGGATACATTACTCAGTTTCATTTCAATTAATAAAACTACTATACATACTGGTGGTAGCCAGGGTTTTCAAACAAAACATACACTACATATTGGTGGTAGCCAAGGTTTTCAAACAGAACATACACTACATACTGGTGGTAGCTGGGGTTTTCAAACAGAACATACACTACATACTGGTGGTAGCCAGGGTTTTCAAACATAACATACACTACATACTGGTGGTAATCACGGTTTTCAAACATAACATACACTACAAACTGGTGATAGCCAGGGTTTTCAGAAATATCATACTATACATACAATAACGAACAAACATGTTAGAAAATATTGGGTTTTCTTAGGAAGCATGCATACATTTTTCATAACTCGATAACATGGTTTTCACTACGAAACAATCTTATAAACTCACCAGCTTTATGTTGATACGTTTTCAAAATCGCTTGTATTCACAGGACAACAGTAGATAGGTACTATTGCCGACTTTTGAGAAGACGGAGCATTTAGAGTCTCGTCGTTATATTTTTGCTACTTTTGATGTGTACAAAAACAATGGATCAAACAGATGTAAATATTCACATCTTAAAGTAACGGTTCTGTTTACTTTGATTACTATGATGCAATTGATGTGATACATTACATGATGTCCTCCACCCCCGAACGTTTCCGTCGTTTCCGCTTTGGGGGGTGTGACAGGTTATGAGCACTATAACACTCCTATGGTGCACATGCAACCCTAAATGCTTTGGATTTATGTTTTCTCTAATTATACATGCATATTTTCAATTTTCCAAAGCATATATCTTAACTAGTATACAAATTGTCAAAAGAACAATACAACTAGTTAGATAACTTACCTCTTAGAAGGACTTGTAGTTCATGACCTTTGAACGCTTGAGCACCCAAAGTGTGATGCCTCTAATGGTTCACAAACACCAATGCAAGAGGAGGCTTGAGAGAATAAGTTGCTTAGCACAAAATCAATTTCACTCTCTTAGAATGTAAGTGGCAACCGATTTTGGTCATGAAGGGTTCTATTTATATTTCTAGGGTTACATTTTTGCAAACCCTAATGACCTTTCATATTACTTAGGCTCTATGTGTTAAAAACCTCTATGGACTATCCATGGACTATCACATTGGTTTAGCCCATCCTAAATAAACATGGATCATTTGCTCACACTATAAGAATCATTGATTTACATAATCAATCTCCATATATTTAATTAGTCTATTGTGACCACAAAATTAATTCCATATTAATTCTTGATCAATACTAATTAAATAATATGATTTCATATTAATATATTATACTTGTAATATATTAATAAATCATAAATAACCTTATTCTCAAAAGTCCATCCTATCAAATTGCAATGATGAAGGCAACCCAAAAGGACCATGCTACAATCGGGTCAAGTACATCCCAGTTATAGTTATGGGCTTAGACACCAAATCCAACAGTCTCCCACTTGGATAAGTCTAATAACTATAGCTGACAATGCGACTTTAGCATCCGACTTAGCAATCTTAAGCTTTCAAAAGTCATTGTCGAACTCTGACCTAGTCAGTGACGCGTTCTTCAGATAAGGGATCATATATTCCTCTGTTCTCAAGATATCTATGCGGACAAATACATGGAACATTGTCATACTTATTTTTCCTACAGTTTGTTTCTCGATTTCGATTCGTCTGACAAAGAACAAAGCTGAAAATTTAGTTATGACCGGGCCGACACATAAGTCAAAACGAAATCATCGAGGGGACCAAGATATCGCTTTTAATCCTCTTAGGATAAAAGGAACAAATAAACCTCAACATTATATGCTTGTACTAACTACTCATTAAGTCATGCACAACGATACGTTTTATAGCAACAAGTTACTGATGCGTTTTCGTATCACTAATGCACAACCAACTAGTAGTCAACAACTCATATATCTTAGTTTGAAGACTATATGATATTATCGTCTCACAATTACTCGTAATAAATTCCATGCAGTAATTCAGGTGAGCGCGGGTTGAATCCAATACTCAAATCTTATTTCAGGATCACTCATGAATGGTATAGCAAACTTTTGTTATGTCTAACACCTTAGACAATCTACAAGCCAACTCATGACAGTCTAGCCTCATTACCTACTTCCAAAGTATGATCGACTGTGGATGGTTTGAATAATCTTATTATTCAGGAAATCAAAACATGCAAAGTGAAACACAAAAATAATATTAATCCTATATGGCCCCAGAACTTTTGAGTATAAATAAAACAACTTTTATTTAATCACCGTATTGATTACACATTATTCATTGTATATTGTTTCGCTTTATCAACTAATAATTGAATTAAAACAATAGCTATCCCATGCTCTAAGCATGCACACTATGTTTACCTACGGTCCTTACTTTGTGAAATAGATCAATTATAAACATTTCCAATGATACTTATTTCACAATTCTAAATCCTTATCGTAAGTGTAAGAATACCAAGGTGTTGTCACTTATTGTAATTTGTTAGATTTTAAACTTATATTCAGTGATCCTTTTGTAATGACTATATACACAAGTCACAGAGACTTTATCAATTACAAAACTTTCGATTGGAGATTGTTACAAGACAATTTCATAGATCCGAACTCTCATATTCAAAGCACATTCCTTTGAACATCCTTCTTGCATAAAAGTTTCTAACCTACAAAAAGATTCTTAATATATTCAAATTCCCAATATGGAAACATTTCCATATTTTCCATATGACAACTCATTATCAATATAATTTTGTCTTACAATAATAATATCAATATGGTCAATTTATTACTATACTTCCAACTGCCCATAAGCCACCGATCCTTTGTGAACCTTAGATTGTCATTAACAGTTGTTTAACCACTTTAGTCATATCCGGTTCTATTTTTTCCCCCTCTTAATGCCCTATGCATTTGGAAAATTAGAACACAAGAATATTATAGCATATGCAATTGTAACATACACGTTATTAACCTAGTTTAATTATTGTGTTTTTTAAATATTATTAGCTTAAAGTGATTAATATTATATGTTTTTGAACGTTGACTTCTAACAAGTAAAACTATGTTTAGAATCATTCGGGAAGTATTGAAAGTCTTATGATATTACGATCAAAAATCAACTATTGAAATTAACGAAAATGTAAAATTAGAAATAAGTAAAAATAATGCTATTGAAAGTTGTAGATTATCTAGTTAGAAACATTTAGGCGAAAACTTCATCAAAATCCGAATTATAACAAAGAAATTATGACTTATTGAAGATCCGCGACAAAACCAGCAAAACACTATTTAGCGTAAAAAGTGAGTTTTCAATAAACTAACTTTTTAGCTTTAGTGGTCTAAATGAAAGTCATAGTATTCGTTAAACCGAGAATTTTCATAAAAAGAACGTCAAAATCTGACTTCGTATGAGGAAATTATGATTTTTCTAAATTTCGGTATAACAGTATACACCTAAAAACTCGAAATAAAGATCGAGTGGTTTTTAGCCCACACAACCTAAACGAGAATCGAAGATCTCGTCAATAGTAGTATAACGGTAAAAAGACAAATAAAAACGGACTTCGGATAAAGAAGTTATGAATTTGTAACGGATTTTCCTGTCCCGGTCTGTTAAAAATATTATATTAAAAATAAAGTCAAAATTAGCCGACAGAGTCTAAACGAAAGTTGTAGAGCATAATTTCACCTACGCGTGGATATAAAGAACGTTAAAAACGGAGCTCTTATGCGAAAGATACGAATTTTTGAAGTTTTGGGCACAAACTTCGAGGTTAGAAGGATGCCCAACGTACAAGTGGTACGCTTAGCTAAGCGTACAGATTTATACGTCGAGTAGGTCTCAAAACCACAGAACTTTTATTTAAACCCATACCTAGGAATCGAGACGTTACACATTGTACACGCCCTATAAAACATCTCCAAGAAACACGGAAAAAACGATACTATTTTAACAGAAAAAAATGATCTTCATCGCAACCTGAAATTTAATGCAAAACCCAAAAGAAGAAGCTATAAGAACTGATCCAAACCCTGCTATAAAAATGAACCTTCATTGAAAGCAGGAAATCATCTAGCAACTTACATACATTTAAAACAACAAATATAACTCCTAACTTAAGCATCGGAGAGCAATACTGGGGATCCGCCCTCGGTATGGCTTTCTAACCTAATTTGTCACATACCGGTATGTAACATGCTACTTGGATTGCTCAGGCTGGAGGGAGTGGTACCACCGAAACCGCACTCCCTTCGTTGTCACGTAAGCACCATGTCATTTTACCATAAAAGCGCGGTTCCTTGCCACACCCAAAGAGTGGTGCCACACTTTATTTAAAAAATAAAAAATAAAAAAAACCTTTAATTTCTCCCCATCCAATGACAAAACAGTCAAATTATCTACACTCAATCACAAACCATGGCCATTTTTTGCTGCACTGCGGTTTGAACCGCACCCTGGGGGCAGTGTTCGCTGCTTATTTGGCAAAACCGCACTCCCTAACCACACCACACCTTCCAACCTCATTGGAAGAAGCTCTAAAAGGGACCACCACATGCATCCAAGTCGCCACATAGCAACAGATTTCATGTAACAGTGTGCAACCAAAAAAAAAAAAAAAAACTCTGAAATTTAATATGCCACAATCAAACCAACACATTACTTTTGCTGAATTTATTCTCATTCCACATTTTAACAAATTTTGACCTACACCCCTATATACACATTCAATACTTACCAAAACTCAAGGGGTGCGCAACTTCAACGCCCAAATTTATAACCAATACAACATCAAACTATACATTTTTCTTCAATTCCATACAAATTTCATCACATATCGACTTTTAACAACTTGATAAAAAAAAAAAAAGGAGAATTCAAACAAACATTGCTCATATTCATATTTTGTTAATTCTTATAAAGCATTAACTTTTTGAGTTGAACATTTAACATATCATGTTCGTGTCTCATTTTTTGTAGCAATGTTTCAACGATTAGCATCTCCTCTTTGAGATGATCGATCTGTTTATTTAGTAAATTGACCGTTTCGCCCCTTCTGTCTATGCGTGCGTTGCTGTTGCTCATCCAACTTGTGTCGGAAACTACTTGCACGGTTGGTGGTCTTAGTAACAGCACCACAATGCTTATCTGTAGAAAACCAAAACCAAAAAGAAAATGAATGATAATTGCAAAAAGACCTTATTGCCCCTGATTAAGCCACAGATGAAAAGGACCAAACTGCCCTTAACAGTAACAAACCTGCATGAGAAGGATGACCACAGCCATGAGTATAACAACAAAGGAAGGGACATGATTCTGAGACTTGAAAGATGCAAACAGCTTTGGAATGGAATCTCTTAAATTCGATGCAGTCCCAGAAGAACCACTGCTGCTGACCTGGCGCTTCACTTCCTGGGACACTGGAACAGTCTGAGTCATCATCGTTATGTCCCCCTGCTGACCTGGCGCTTCAGAACGTTCCGGAACCTGTGTTTCTTCTACGTTTACAGCAGCAATCAAGTTGGCTGCAAAGAAGAAACAAATTTGTTTATTATAGCATCATCCTACTATTTACTATTTAATATTTAACTATTTACAATTGAGTTAATCTCATAAAAGACCTTATATTCTATGTTTTTTCAGGATTAAATCTCAACTTTATTTTTTCTCTAAAAACGACCTTGCATTTTTCATTTTGTCTGATCTGGCCCTTTTAGTTAATCTCATAAAAGACCTTATATTTTGTGTTTTTTCCGGATTAAACCTCAAATTTAATTTTTTCCTGAAAAAGACCGTGTATTTTTTTTCATTTTTTCCATCTGGCCCTTTAATCATTTTTTTCCCCAAAAATGTAAAACGTGAGGGTTTTTTCGAGAAAAACTAAAAAATTCAAGGGTTTATTTTGAAACATTTGGAAGGTTGAGGTTTTTTTCCAAAAAAATACAAAGTTGAGGGCTTTTTCAGATAAAATGAAAAAAAAAATACAAGGTTCTTTTCAGGCGAGAGATAAAGTTGAGGTTTAATCTGAAAAAAAAAAACACAAAATACAAGGTCTTTTATGAGATTAACCCTTTATTTTTCAAAAAAAAAACTTGTAGAACTTGAGGGGTTTTTTCGGAAAAAAAAAAAAAACTAAAAATTGAGGATTTTTTCAGGGAACAGTTTGAAGTTTGAGGGTTTTTTCGTAAAAAACACAAGGTTTTTTCAGGAAAAAACACACACACACAAAATATAAGGTGTTTTTATGAGATAAACCCTTCACTATTTAGTAGAAGTTATACCTTCTTTCTCAATGTTCTTCTGTTTCAGTAACACATGTGCCTGAAAGAAAATTACACATTAACTTGCTTATTATAGCATCCTACTTTCATTTCTTTCTATTACAACATTCTACTTTTTTTTTTTCTTTTTGAAAATTATAGTTTATGACTATATTCAAAATGCTACAAAACAATGAAATCAATTTTTTTTAAAAGGAAATGGAAAAATAAGGAATGAAGAAGATACAAGTTCTATCCAAGCTGCAAAGGTATCTCTGCACTCTTCAATTGTAGCCTGCACTATTTTCCCTGAAAATTATAAATTCACTAATTATTTCCCTACATGACAATAAAATTTAAAGCTTATAAAGTATATAAAGCAAGCTATGAAACCTTTCCACATGGTTTTTTTAGAGAATGCGACATTCACATACACCCTTAATCTGCAACCATTATTTGAATCTGCTACCACCTCCCATAGCCCCTGTAAGCATATCAAAAAAGATTTATGAAAGAATTAGCAAAAATATGCCTTTCAATTTTATTCTTATTATTCATACCTCTACACAAAAGTAGTCTCCATAGGGAACATCATTGATCACTTGTGATGTCTTCACAACCAAATGACTGATAAAATTAAACATGAAAAAAAAAAAAAGTTAAAATCATTAAGCAAATGTTGAATCCATATTTAAAAATGAAGTTTACCTGTTCTTGTAAACTCGAAAGTTTTGTACTTCATTGCAAGAACCAAATCTTGCACCTAAACAAAATCGTCACAGAAATATTAAAACAAAAGCAATATGATATTAACAATATAAAAGCCAATTATTTTATACGTAATATATAATTATGAGTATTCAGTATTGATATATACCAAAATAAATTTTGATTGGATGCTGAAAGGATACTTCACGAGCATAACCAAGTTGATCATGGGGTTTCCATGATGTGCACTTAAGATCTGGAAACCAAAAAAGATATTGATATAAAAAAATAAAATTTAAATTTCACATTTATTTAGTATCAGTTTCAAAATACACCTTTATCTCCACATTTATTGTGATATGATTCAAGGAAAGGGAGGGCCTCATCTGAGAAAAATAGACTAAAGAACTCGTCCACTTTTATCTGCATAAGAGATAAAAGAAATTATAACAACTTTTTAGAAACAGAAGTGAGACATTGTGTTTTTTTTTATTATTCTTTTAAATAAAATACCGGAAATGTAGATTCTGCAGCCAGTGTATAACCCTCAGGCACTGCACACACACACAAAAATAAAAAATAAAAATAAAAACAATATTTTGAAAGCTTAGAAAGAAAAGTCCTGAAATGCACTTAAGTTGAAGTACAATGCTAGTTTATGAATAGATTTTTCAAAGTAAATTACTTTAATATGGAAGAAAATAAGAAACACTGAAAGTAGGTCATTTATAAAAGAGTAAATTACACGAACGGTCCCTATGGTTTGGGGTAATTTGCGTGTTTGGTCCCTAACTTAATTTTTCAACTCGGGAGGTCCCTACTATTTGTTTTTGTTACGCGCTTGGTCCCTGTCTTACCTAAAAAGACTATGATTTAAATAGGGAAAAATGGTGGGGTAGGTAAGGTAAGGTGAGGGGGTAGGGTTGGGGTGTGTTTATTTAAATAAATTCAAAAATCAAGGGCAAAATAGTCTTTTTAGGTAAGATAGGGACCAAGTGCGTAACAAAAACAAACAATAGGGACCTTCCGAGTTTTAAAAAAAAAAATAAGTTAGGGACCAAACACGCAAATTACCCTAAACCATAGGGGCCATTCGTGTAATTTACTCTTTTATATAAGACTAACCAATTGGTGCATCAGAATCCCCAACTTCCCATGCTAAAGATTTCCCAGAAGATGAACAATCAGTATTTTGAACAACAATGGTGTCATCATCTACAGCATCTTGAACTCTTGAAGATCTCAATGACACGTCAGCTTCACTGCCAGGTGTACAGTTGGGATCTTCTGGTGTATTGTCACCAGTGCTGCTTCTGTTTAAACAATCAATGTAGCTATTAAACTAAATGGTTAAATGCAAGAAATAGCATTGATTTTTTTTTATTACAGCATCCTATAGTATTCAAATGAATAAAAGTATGTTGATGTTTGATGCATTTATGTAAAATTAAATGAAAAACAAACCCGTTTGTGATTTCAAGATCATCCCCTAGTGGTCTAGCTTCATCTGAATCTTCAACCATAACAATTTCAGGCTCTTCATCAATCAACCCGGATTTTGAAACCTGTAATCAATCAAAATAAGAAGATAAGAAGTATTGAACACCAAAAAGTATCAATTTATCACGATATGTTAAGTTGTGTTGAAGGTTTTAGAAACCTGTTGATCAGAAATAGTTTTACTTCCACTTCCATGTTCTAACCAACCATCACTAATGAGCTTAAAGGCTTCATCACGTGACAAGAATGATGTAAAAAAGTACTGAAAATAAGGCAAGTGAAGATGTCAGCAAAAAACAGAAATGTAGCTCATGTTATATTTCCAGAAAGATCCCTGAAAATACAGATAACTGTTTTTGAATTGAGATAAATATTAGAGATGGATATAATCACAATTCACAACTACCTTTTTTTCAGAAACTGTTAATTCTATGGCAGTAGGGAATATTCCTGCAGTCTTTGCTCTTTTTACCTCTGTAATTTCATCAAAGTGAATTATTTTCTGCATTTGAACAGCCAACATTCCGATTAATTCAAATCATCAGATAGGAAAATGAAGGGAATAGTAACTCAGAGTTCAAGATATACCTTTGTTTCAAATCCAAATAGGTTTGAATAAAAGCATATGTGATGGAAAAACAGGTACATATGGCCCTACAATATATCAAGAATAGATAACAATCAGAAAACAGAAAAATGTATGCAACCATGTAAGAGCTTTTTAATATCTGAAATAGCAATCGCTATGGTATTATGCCATCATTTATTACCAAAAATGGCCAAAATAGCAAGATCAGTATGGGAACTCGATACATGCAACAAATTGTAGGGGATAAGAATAGAACTTATAAACTCAACATTAAACATTAAAGAGATCAATCATACCTGAAGAATGAAATTCTCTTGCAATGCACAATTGAAATCTTGAATAAGGACCTAATACAACGAACAAAATAAATTAAAGAAAGAAAGATGGGGAAAAGAATATACATTCTAAAGTTGAGAGAACTATAACACTATAAATGTTCTTGCATACTTATCTTTTATAAAGCATAATTCACCAAACTACTCACTCCTATGTGTAAACTTCTATTCTTGATATCAACAAATCAATCATGTTCACCAATCTTTCCTTTGAAGCCTCAATATATAACTTATCAAAACATTCCTTAAACGATTATACCAACAGTTTAAGCTTCCATGTATATGTTGCCCTAGCATCAGTGTTTAGGCTAATGTTTGATTCTCATTAGCGTTTCATTGTTTAGTGCCCTATAATACAGCCTCTTCATAAGCCAATCATCTAAAAGTTGAGGCATCCCCAATAAACAGGTACTACTACTACTACTACTACATCTTACACCTGGGATTGTAAGATGTATCCAAGAAAAATCATATTAACAATGGCAACGAGTAGACAGATCACATCACCAAGAACCTAACATAACTTCCATCCAACCTGAATAACTTGATAATCAAGAACATAAAAATCTGAAACCCCTAACTTCCAAAACATGATGATCGAGAATATATAAATTTGAAACCTCTGATCTCAAAGAAGTCAGAATCAAAGCAAAGAGATACGTTTCCTCCTTTTTTTTGTATTGGTTCTCTGTTAGGTTAAAACATGACCAAATTTACTGAACTACTGAAAGTGAAGATGATTACTTCTTCAGGAGGAAGACGAAACAGTTGTCGATATTCTTCGCTCCTCAACGACGGCTGAAACAAATCAACAAACAATTTAAATATACAAATTCAAGAAATAAAAAAAAATCACAATCAGTCAAGTAGTCAACTTGATCTTCAATTTCGAATCCAAATTTCACAACGAAGCTCAATCGCACCTGAAATTCGAGTTGTCTGGAAGGTGAATATGAGGATTTGGAGTTATCAGCCAGATCTGCCGGAGAGGCAGATGAGGAACCATTTACTGCCGACAAAGATTCGGTGACGGCAGCAGCATCGGTTAAATTCGTCGTAGGTGATTTATCCATGGATTGTGATGGAGGTGCGATGTTGTCGCTGGAGGAGGTCGTCGCCACCGCCATGGAACGGAAGAATCACCGTGAAATGACGTGTCTCGGCGGCGATGGTGTGTCACTGGATGATGAACCACGTGGGCTTTTTCACTTGGGAGTTGACGTTGGGAGACGGGAAAAGAAAGCGTAGGCATTTCGCCACTATACAAGTGAAGTTAACGATCTTTCCTTTTCCAGAGCTTAAATTCTTAGATACAAAGTAATGTACAGGTTTTAGTTCGTGATTTACAGTTTTGTAAAGCGTTATCAATCTGATTTATAAATTTTTCCGTGGGAAATAGTAATAATAACGTTTACGCGTCTTTCCACCATTCCATGATCTCGTTATATTGTTTTGGTCAATGGGGCAAATATCGAAAAGCATTGTGTTTCTGTTATAATTGCAAAAATATACCATATATAGTAATACCAAATTTTTGTAAACATTTTTTCAAGAAATTATCAAATATATTTTGATATTGGGTCTTTGTATGTTGGACATTTTTATTTTTATTTTTTTAGTCCATAATATTTTTTTGCTGATAACATTCATACATATTGTGTAGTTCAATACATATTATGTATTTCTTTTAAAAACATCTGTAGATCTAGGAGATATGATATTAGAATGTATGACTCGTTGGACTCTGTTGACGAGCTCCACCGCCTCTGGTGTGAAAAAATCAAATGTATCAAATGCAAAAGGTACAAACACATGTTGATTTTCTATACATGCATTCTCGTGTTTTGCCACCTTGCATGCAGCGGCTTTCAAAGCAGCATGCCCTGCTGTGAAACCACCGCTCTTCAAACCGACAAGAGAAGAGACCCCAGTAAGATCCGCACACGTGTGTTTCCCTCCTACCCATCCAAATACCAAAATATCAGTCGGTCTAAGTGTAGATCTTCCATCCTGCAGGTCCGTCAAAAAATTCATTGGCGCTTCTTTCTTCGCATAAATATTTGCACGCCGACAACATCAAAGAGAACATCCCTAACCACATCATGTCTATACTTGAAACCAGAGAGCTCTCTACAATGAACCGCAAGTTCCCCAAAGGTATACAAACATGCCCTACGACAAACTCGACATATCTCGTCAATTGGGAATAGAGGAATCATGAAGCGGTAATGAAGGATAGTTTGGTACTCCACAGGAGACATATGTTGGTCAAGGCCATCAATATGGATAGTTAGCAGAAATCATGAGCATGAGGTGCCCGAAGACTCTCAAAAAATGTTTTCTGTCTAACAGTCATGTCGAAATCAACTTTCATATCTTCGACGATTTTGCTAAAAAGGACACATGACAATGCTTTTTGGGATTTAGGGGGGTGTCCTTATTAGTGAAACCGCTACAATCGAATCTTGTAATTGCATTGCGAAGACAAGTCATAACACATAGGTAATCAGAGTCCATACCATATATGTCACTGTCACGTAAGATATGGTCTTGTAATGCCCAAGATTGAGCCCTCGAGGCTACAAATGCATAGGAGGAAACCTCGTATGCCAAGTACAAACACAAACCACCGAAACGAATAGGTAAGGAAGCCAAACGCCACTGAATGTTTCCAAAGAAGGGGCCTCCACATACCACCATATCCTCGATAGACCTGCGCAATCCTCTGTCAAAGAACAGAGTTGTCTCTTCTATGTGCACCAGCTAACATGTCATTAAACCAAAAAAAAAAAATTGTTGTAACGACCCAATTTTCACGTCCAAAAATTTTATTTTTATAAATTACTTTAATTAAAACATTCGTAGGAAAACATCGTCAAATCATAATATCTCATAAAATTGTGTATAATGTCTGAAAATCCAAATCATAAAATAGTGATAATATCAGTGTACAATCCCAATGAAAACTCATAATGCGGAATCTAAGGTGTGTGTATGATGTGCAACTACTGCGCCGGCTCCTTCCCCTTCGTTGAAGAGATACCTGACACAAAACTGAAAACTGTAAGCACGAAGCTTAGTGAGTTCCCCCATCATACCACATACCATAAAATCACATATCATGCATATACTATCAGGCATATCTAGGTGCCCGACCCACCCATTCGGCCCTGTCGACTGGATAATGCCTAATATATCTGGGTGCTGGCCTCCCCCTTCGGTCCTGTCGACCGGATACTGTGTAACAGCCCGGAATTTCAGGTATTGTTATAATATTGTTTTGGGGTGTTTTAGGAGGGGACTCGGCGAGTTGGAGCCAGACTCGCCGAGTAGGACCACAGACTTGGTCGCGGGTTCGCGACTGGACTCGACGAGTCCAGGTATGGACTCGGCGAGTCTACGCCGTTCAGCGGAAACCCTATCCGTTTGGTTTTGGAACGTATATAACGCACTATATGCCTTCATTGTCCGTCTTTTAGTCGACTGAGAAGAACCCTAAGCGGCTGTGGGCATCTAGAGCAAGATTGAAGGCCATTGGTGACTTGAAGAAATTGTTGTGCAAGGAGGAGAAGAGTTTTGGCTAAAGGAACTACAAGGGATTCGAGTTCTGAGGTTTGGGGACACAGAGAGTGCGTTATTCAGGTAATATTTCGGATCATTTCTGTTATATTGATGTGTGCATGGATTTAGGGTTTATGGAACCCATTTGGTGATTAGATGGATTATTACCTTGTTACCCAAACGAATATAACCCTGTATTAGGACCTTTAGAGGTCCAGAAGGTCCCATGCTTGTGTATTTCGGAACAATACTTATCTCAGGAAGCAGTTTGATCGACTGCATGGCATGGACTCGCCGAGTCCAATGAACAGACTCGGCGAGTAGCTTGGAGATTGACTGGGACTCATCGAGCTGTTCTTCAGACTCGGCGAGTGGAGTCGGGGTGGCCCCGCGATTCTTCCACGAGGATCTCGTCGAGCCAAGAGGGATACTCGACGAGTAGAAAGGGAACATCAGGGAAAGTTGGGGAGGACGTCTAGACTCGCCGAGTCGCCTTTGCACTCGCCGAGTCCGGTCAAGTTGACCGTTGACCGTTGACCGTTGACCAGAGTTGACCTGCATGTAATTTCTTAGGGTCAGTTGTCTTGAATGATAAGAGTATTAATAAGGGGTATATGGTATTATAGGGAGTCTGTAGCTCGGCGGATCGAGCACGAGTGATTTCGGGATTTGCTAGCTTTCGATATTCACGAGGTGAGTCTTCTCACTATACTGTACCCGGAAGGGTTTGACTGTGTGACCGGAAGGTCGGATATGATATGTGTTATATATATATGCTATAAATGGAAAGATAGTTGCTATGCGTGCTATGTATGTTTATATGGGCCGGAAGGCAATGTGTTATGTGACAGAAAGGTCAGGTATGATATATGATATATGTGCTATATGTGTTAGAGTAAATGTATTATGTGCTGTATATGTTTATGGGCCGGAAGGCGATATGTTATGGGCCGGAAGGCAATATGTTATGGGCCAGAAGGCAATATGTTATGGGCCGGAAGGTGATTATGTTACGGGCCGGAAGGCGATGTGTTGTGGACCGGAAGGTCAGGGCCTGGAAAGGCGTATATGTGTAAGTCGTATACTGGGGAACTCACTAAGCATTTATGCTTACAAGTTGTTATGTATGTGTTTCAGGTACTAGCGAGGACCGTGGGAAGGCGCCGGCGTGATGTATACACACTGCTGCTATTTGAGATCTTGGGGGTTTTATAAATGTATTTTGATATGAAACCTGGAATAATTTTAATTGGTTGAATGAAATCACTTTATTTTAAATGAAAATTTTATTTGAAAATTTACGTTGTTACAATTGGTATCAGAGCCTTGGTTTGAGGGATTCGGGTGTACCTTCGGGTGTAACTGAACTCAAACCGAGGATTTGAGGAAAAATCTTTTAAAAATAATAAAGGCATAAACTTTTATAAATGGTAAAGTGGTAAACAAGAAAGAAGCAGTGTGTACGATCAGCCAGCGCCCGAACGGTAAAGATCCCCAGAATACCTTACAATGTTATGTTATGCAATGAATTATGAACTGTTATGCATGCTAGAAGACTAGGTATTCATGATAGGACTAGAGTGGCCTGATTTGTGATGCCTTAGTCTAGGGAGTTTGTCGACATGAGATATTTGATAGCGTGCAGGTAGATGGTGTATATCAAAGGTAGAGTACTCACTAACCGGGATTTGGGGAGGAAGATTTGGGAAGAATGCTGATACGGTGTGGTCGGTAGTATTGGGCCCGTACTACTGAAGACACCGGGTCGGTGGGAGACCCAAGTAAGAATCCCTGGATGTCGGATACTGAGCAGGGTTGCGTTATCGAGTGCAACAGTACTTGATGGAGTCTCTGATAATCTTATGTTATATTTCAAAGACATTATGGTTACGACACGCCACGGAGCGAGTTCGAGCGGTGTGAGTGACGAGGAGATTCGTCAGATGATTCAGGGGGAGGTAACTGCGGCGATTCGGGCTGAGATCCCGGAGATGTTTGGGTCCATTAAGACCACCCTGATGGAGGCATTTGAGGAACGGTACGCCGCACTGACTGAAGCTGCAGCCGCTGCCGCTACCGCAGCTGTGGCCGCTGCCAGGCCGCAAGGGGGTGACTCGTTGCTGTTCCGGGAATTCAGCAACACGAAACCCCCTGAGTTCGATGGGACGCAGGATCCGATTGCTGCGATGAGGTGGATCGCCGATATTGAAGGGTGCTTTTACACTTGCTCATGCCCAGAGCACCTGAGGGTACGGTTCGCTTTGAACCAGCTCCGTCTGGGAGCGAAGGATTGGTGGAAGTTCGTGACGGCGAACTTCACTTTGGCGGAGATTACAGCGGTGACATGGGAGAGGTTTACTGGCATGTTCAGGGATGAGTACGTTCCCCCAGTGGAGAGGGAACGATTGATTCAGGAGTTCTTGACCCTTAAGCAGGGTACTGATTCCGTTGCGGTGGTCACACAGAAGTTTCACGAGAGGGCGATGTTCTGCCCCGAGCTGGTGTCTACAGAGCAGTCACGGATGAGCCGGTACTTAGGCGTGTTGAGGAGGGATATCCGGGAGTTTGTGTCAAACTCCACCTATCGTACTTTTACTGAGCTTCAGGCAAATGCCAGGAAGCGCGAGATCGAGTTGGAGACCCAGGCCAGGGAGGAGGCCGAGTCTTGGCAGGTGGACCGGCGACCAGCTTAGTCTTAGCCGGCAGCCAAGCGGATCAAGTCCGCTGATTCGAGGATGGGAGGTCCGAAGGGCCGCACTTGCGGAAAGTGCGGCAAGGGTCATGAGGGGGCGTGTCGAGCGGGTAGTTGCTACAAGTGTGG